ACCCCCCCCCCCCCCAACCCAAAAAAACAAAACATATGCGGTTCATATGACCCTCGTGTGCAGTTAAAAATAAAAATTGATGTATATATGTATATGTATGTATATATAGAAAGAGGGGAAGAAATGCTAAATAGACTTAAAAATTTAATTTGATGAACTATTATCATTAAATACGTGATAGGTTTCGATAAATATTGATACCCACAATTATATCAATAATAAATATATTATCCATGCATATATTTATATATATGTGTGTGTATATAGATATAAAGAAAGAGACTCCGAGAGAGAGAGAGTGTGTATGTGGGTGGATGAGTGGGTGCGTCTCATTGACGAAGAGCACTCTTGAATGCAAAATGGCAATGGCTTGGTCAATGGAGATCTGGCATTGTGGTTTTGTGCTCATATATATGTGTGTATATATATATATACACAGAGAGAGAGAGAGAGGGTATGCGTATGTGCGTGGGTGAGTGGGTTCGTCTCATTGACGACGAGCACTCTTGAATGCAAAATGGCAATGGCTTGGTCAATGGAGATCTGGCATTGTGGTTTTGTGCTCCCTAATTTGTAACCCAAAAACTGTACACACGCATAGACACACACACACACACAGAGCCTCTATATATATATATATATATATTTGCATTTTAATGGCTTTGACAAATTTTCCATGGTTGCTCGGTTCAGCACCTGGACAGCGCAGAGAGGCTGATCTTCAGGTCCCAACTTATCAAAGCTCTGGACAAGTTGTCGAAAAGCCGGGTTTGGATAAACTAAGTCTCCAATCTGGTCCAACGGGAACTCACTAGAAGCCACCGCGAAGCTAGCCCCGGCAGCATTGCAGTCAAACTCTAGGCGACCCAACTGAGGATTCAACTTCAACCTGCCAGCCAAGAAATCATAAGGCACCAGCAATTTGCATAGGGCTGATTTGAGCTTTTCCACCACTGTTTTAAAGGGATAACTGCGGTGGGATGGGAAAAAGTGGACTGTTTGGACAGGGAAATTGAGAACTTGGTCAATGTTTGACAAGAACATGGATTTTCTCTCAGTTTCTTTGGTTGGGAAAACCAAACTGGAGTCTTGCAAGGTGACCTTAAGGTCTAGAATGCCAGTGTTAGGGGATTCTTGGTAGAGAGTACCCATGCCTAATTTGGTTGTGGTATGTGATGAGTTTTGTTGTTGTAAGGGTTGTATATAATATACCTGTTGCTGGCTTGGGATAGATTCAAGGAAAATGGTGTGATGACAGGTGTAAAATAGGTTCTCACCGACAACTTATTCAAATTGTGACACGTGTAATGAGCATTGGCCAATCTACTCAGAGCATACAGCGGGGGCAATATTGATCATGGCATGTGGGAGACTTGAGTCGGACAAACACAAATTGATGGATTTTGAATTGAAAATTTTTGTATGATAAGTCAATCTTGTGGTGTTTAGATTAACACATTTATTGAATACGTCGTATTTTACTTGACATTCTTATGTGACAAAATGTAACTAGGATGTGTCCTATATTATAAGTTAAAGCTTTTTAAATTAGTGATTGTCTCACTGGCATACTACATTGGCTTCTAGTTTAATATTTGAGTTGACCCAATTTTAAACTAATTAACGTATAAAAAATTAAAAAATTGTCTCCTCTCAAACTACTACACCATTATATTGGAAGGGGGTTTATTATTTTGTGTTTAGACATACTCCCACCCACGTGGGTGTCATAAATCGTCCACGAGTGTTTGCGACGTTATTCAAAAAGTGGTTGAGTAGCCTGAGTGATGAAATCAACAGCCACACAAGTTAGTTGGGAACTTTTTGTGTTGTGCGTTCATACAAGCAGGATTTTTTGTACTTTCCAAGCCAAAATTTTGTGATCTTTAAATAGGTCATCGTAGATATAGTAGGATTTCATCATTATGCAAAGAATAGTATTATTTGGATTTCTTGTCTTCCTTTTTTTTTTTCCTCTATGAAATTCTTATGAACTTCAACCTTTGTTTCATTCAGATTCGAAAAAGAGCGATTAAAAAAAAAAGATATAAGCAAAATTTTAATATACTTTATTCAACACCATACTACAATCACAAGATCTCAAGAACACTGACAAGTCCAAATCAAAATACTAGAGCTTAACTTTTGAGAAGTTAATGAGAGCTTATCAATCCACCTGAAATTTCCACTATAACTGATGTGCAATTTTCATTTCACTAACAAACCCCCCAATAACAAATTTTTGTTTTCTTAAGTTTGTTACATCCTAACTATGTATTTTATGGGTCGATCAATACTATGCAATTATTATGTGTGTGAGAAAAATCAGCAATTATAATTGTATCGGTTGATATAAAACTATAGCCTTTTATGGGTTAGGATTTGTGTAAAGAAATATTATATTTAAATCTTATTTGAAAACATAATCTAGGTACCTGTAGGTAATAGATTAGAAGTGAGTTCTGATGATATCTCAAACAAGCCCTAACTATGAGGTTAGGTCAGGAAAGACACGAGAAACTCAAAGAACCAGGGGGTGGAGTTTCCCTTGGGAAAATCGTAGCTGAACTAACCAGGAAGCAGCTGGGTGACTACAGGAATTGGGTCTCATGCATGAAACTCTCAACCAACCGAGATTCTCTCCTAAAATCAAGGAGGATCCCATGAATAATGGGCAAAGATCTCGACCGAAAATCCCACAGAATAGGGGGCAACCTTATGAATACTATGCAACGCCTCATCGTCAAGCCAGAGAAAAAAATCCTAGTCAGTTGATCACTATCTTGTATTACATTCAACTAATCAATAGAGAACAAAAGGAGCAAGGACCTCCATTGAAGAGTGGACTAGCCGAGCTCCTGAGCCGGTGAACCACTATATTTTCACTGTGTACCCCCCTTAATCCCCTTAATATTTTATGGCAGCAACATATACGAGCCTTGTAGCTCTGATCCACGTTCATCTCACGTTACTTGCACCTTTTGCTCATCCACGTTGATTAATGCCATTAGTTTGGCGCCGTCTGTGGGAGTGATTGTTCCTGTTACAAATAAGCTGATCTTCTAGTGATCGATGGTGTCAACACGAAACATGAGTAGAAAGCAAACAAACCCATCTCAGATGCCGGACCAGTAGGGAGCCACCAATGGCAGACAGCTCGAGAACGTCCTAGAGACTGATCCTCCTATGGGAAATCCCCCCACGAATAACGAGATAGAGGCCCTTCGCCTTGTCAATCGGTGCTTGATAAAAGCAAAACGAGGAGCTCTTGAAGCTCTTGCAGCGCCCACAGGAGGCACGTGCGGCCCAAGAAGATCAGAACAATCCCTACTACAGGGACCAATAGCACCCTGATCCACTCAGAGAAGACAACGAAGGGGGGAGAATAGCCAGACCTTGGGGCAGGTTCCCCAACTACCCCCTAGGAACGACCATAATGAAGAAGTACAAAGTCAAAACTTTGAAGGTGAAAAGAATGATGTCTTCCCTTGTCAGCAGAAGAAAAGGGAGCAATATTGAGAGCAGCGCTTCAAGGGCATCCAGCAGGAGCTCAGCCACATAAAGGAGGCGGTTAGGAGTAAAGCTCCAGTTACAATGGACGCCTTGGTGTAGCAGACTGAATCTCCATTCACGCCTGGGGTGTTATATTTTCCCCTCCCACCAAAGTTCAGGATGCCTCACATAGAGTCTTTTGATGGAACCAAGGACCCCATGGACCACCTCAATACTTACAAGAACCAGATGGAATTACATGGGTATCAAGATCCCGTACGCTGTCGAGCCTTTACCATCATTTTGAAGGGTTCAGCCTTGGCGTGGTTTAACTTCCCCCAGCCTCAATCTCTTCCTTGAAAAAGCTTTCCATTTCCTTTGTATCCCACTTCATAGGGGCTCAAACCTATATAAAGCCGAGCTATCACCTTTTAAATGTGAAACAGGGACTACAAGAAAACCTCAGGTCATATGTCCACAGATTTAATTCAGAATAGTTAAAGGTGGATGTCCTAGACAAAAAGTTCTCCATCACTAGCTTCATAGCTGGTCTAGAGGTGCAGTCTAATGATTTGATGTTCTCCATATCAAAAAATCCCCAAGCAAGCATGGTCGAGGTGCTTGCCAAAGTGGAGAAATACATAAACGGCGAAGAAGCTCTTCTTTCAAAGGTAGGGAGCTCTTCCGCACATAGAGACAAGGGAAAGGAAAAGAAAAAGAGCAACTGAAGTCCCAGGAGAGAGAGGAAAAGAAACAGATCTCCAAAGAGAGATAGATCTCCCAAAAGAGACAAAGAACGATCCCTAAAAAGACGGGGGAACGTTAGGGGCCGCTTAGGCCCCCCGCAGCCTGAACTACAGCTGAGGTATGCACCTTAGCAATATTCCCCTCTCATTGTGACAGTATCCCATATCCTATACGAGGTGCAGAACGATAAATTCCTAAGGTGGCCTCCATAAATGAAGGTAGATCTGTCTAAAAGAGACCTACAAAATATTGCGAGTATCATAGGAATCATGGCCATCATACCAACGATTGCATCCAACTAAAGAAGGAGATCGAGTTCTTGATCTAGAGGGGACAGTTACGATGATTTGTCACTCGTGACAACCAGGACAGGGCTCCGCCACCTCCGGCACCCCATCAACAAGCACCTGCACAGCACCAGCAACCCTTAGGGGAGATTAGAGTGATATCTGGAGGATTTACTGGCAGTGCAGAATCCAGTGCAACTAAGAAAGCACATCTGCGTAGAATCAGATTTGGAGAAGGGTTGAAAGTACACACCGTGTCCAAAATACCTCGGCTGAGCACAACCATCACTTTCTCAAATTTAGACTTGGAAGGTTGTCAGTATCCCCATGATGACCCATTGGTCGTAAGGGCCATTATGGCAAACCAAACTGGTTATCGAGTTCTAATTGACAATGGGAGCTCGGCCGACATCATTTTCGCCTCTGTCTTTGAAAAAATGGGCGTAGGAAGGGAGAAGCTTGAGCCAGTGAATGCTCCCTTGAAGGGGTTCTCAGGGGAGAGGGTGCTACCCCTAAGACCGTCCAAGTCATGCTCACTATGGGGGACCCTCCTTGTCAAGCCACCACCACTGTGAAATTCCTGATATTTGACGCCCCTTCTGCATACAATATCCTACTTGGGAGACCATCCCTCAATGTAATGAAGGCTATCCCCTCAGCATATCACCTGGTCGTAAAATTTTCTACAGAAAATGGAGTTGGAATGGTCCGAGGAGACCAGCGAATAGCCTGGGAGTGCTACATGACCTCGGTGAAGCAGAAAGAGGTTGAAACTATCCAGCTATATGAGCTTGACATAAGAGACGAGCTGTACACCAGGCCCATGCCGTTAGAAGAGCTAGAGCCAGTCCAGCTCGATGAAGAGCCTGAACATATTATTTACGTGGGATCTAAGTTGAGCAAATAAATGAAAGACCAACTCACCCAGTTCCTGAGGAAGAACATAGGGGTGTTCGCTTGGAAGCAAGAGGACATAGAAGGCATTGACCCCTCTATCATCACACACAAGCTAAGCGTGAATCTCATGTACAAACTTGTTAAGCAAAAGCGGAGAAGTTTCGTTCCGGAACGCCAGAAGGCAATTAACGAGGAGGTCAGTAAACTCCTCTACGCCAAAGCCATCAAAGAGGTGGACTACCCTACCTGGTTGTCGAATGTGGTGCTATTCAAGAAGACCAATAGGAAATGACGGCTCTGCATTGATTTCACTAAGCTCAATTGAGCATGTCCCAAAGATAGTTTTCCCTTACCTCGAATCGACTTGATCGTGGATGCAACTGCTGGGCGTGAGCTCCTCAGCTTCATGGATGCTTTCTCAGGTTATAATTAGATCAAGATGGATCTGGTGGACCAGGAGAAGACCTCATTTGTGACTGAATAGGGAACTTACTGCTACTAGGTCATGCCTTTTGGATTAAAGAATGCTGGAGCCACCTATCAGCGCCTAGTGAATAGAATGTTCCAGAAGCAAATCGGGACATCCATGGAGGTCTATATCGACGACATATTGGTAAAATCACTGAAGGCAGAACTGCACATCGAGTACCTAGAAGAATTGTTCCAAATCCTCAAGGAGTACAAGATGAGACTCAACCCTGCCAAGTGCGCCTTTGGAGTATCAGCAGGAAAGTTTCTGGAATTCATAGTCAACAATAGAGGAATCGAGGCTAATCCAGAAAAGGTTAATGTAG